ATACATTGGCTATCTTATCTTATCGTCTGGCGCTTTCAGTGATATTATACAATCATACCATAGCAATGAAGGGGCTATATTTTAATAATAAGATTTCTAAATAGTACAAAATTATATGAAAATAAATCAAATACTAGCAAAAGAATCCAAACTGTATTCTGCATGCGTACATCTCACAACGAGGCTCCAGAAATCAAAATTATTCATAATGATACGATTGGAAAATCCACAAGCAATTAAATATTTCTCTTAAGTTGCTAATAGATTGGAAACCATTGAAAACTTACAATTTTAACATGCGATTTGTTCGGGATTCATTTTTCTTGTCAACGAATTATGTTATGGCACGATGAATGTATTGGCATTCGTCGCAAGATCGTGCTCGTGATAAGGTAACCTTGCCAAAACAACTTTACGGTGTCCGAAAAAAAGAAGAATCGCGGAAGCGTTCGAGTCAAAGCCGTTTTAGGAGCCGTGTGTATTATCTGGTATATTAAATTAATGCGCGTTGAAGTTTAATAAATCTCGCGCGTTAAATATTCAAATATTCCAAGCACAAAGCGTGAGTAATTCAGCTAATAATACCGTGTCTAACCATGTAATGTAAGACTGGAGCAGAAGAATCTTGCCTTTGATCAACGGACGCAATTTTACGTTAAACTTTGACCTCCGATTTATAATGCATTTCTATTGATCAGTATGGAATAATGTATTATATAAACAAGAGCAGCAGCATAGACTTTTGCATAATGCAAAGAGAATCAATTAATCAAATTCTTTTCTTTCTAAAATAAAGACCTCTGATTAGTTCTTACATATTATGCAAAATTTATACGTTATGCAAAAGTCTGTGCTCCCGTCTGTAATTCTACATAAATATTGGAGACCGACTAATTGTCGTATAGAGTTGATTGTCAAAATGCTTATAATTTAAACAGAACATGACAGAAAAATCTCTTTTTTTGATTGTAGATAACTGATATAATATTAATTTGTTGTGCAAATTTGTGCAACAATTACAAAAAAATTCAAATTTTTTGTATAAATATTTTAAGTATTCAAAATGATTTATTTATTCAAAGTTTTATTGCAATTCAGAGATTGGATACTAGAAGAAATAAATATTTTACAGAACAAGTAATTTCTGCATCGCAATTTTTCATAAATTCATCATTTTGAATAGGTATTTAAAATATTATATTATATAAAATTATATTATAAAAAATTATATAAAAAAATTAAGATTCTTGTCATTATTTTATGATACATTTCCATACATTTATATTAGAGTACGCAAAAATAAAAAAATTATTTATTATACTCTTTATTCAAATAATTTTTGTTTTGGATGATAAATTATCGATAATTTTTTTTGTATTATTTTTAAATGCGATAAATCTAGAGAATAAGCTGTAATTTTTTCATAACTTTTTCATAATTAAAAAAATATATGTAATATATTCTTAAATTTAAAATTCGTATTATGCAAGATGTAAAAAAAAACATGATGTTACGATTGCTATTTACAGATTAGTATTACACCAGAGATCGATTTTAAAAAAGAAAAAGGAAAAATAATCGAAATAAATAAGAGATAAGATCCGACCGTGTTAATGTACAACATACATATGGTAGAGAGCGAATAATAGAAATATTCAACAATAGTTTATATATAATAGCTTGTTGTTTTTGAAAAAGAATGAGGATATAATATATTATGGAATTCAGAATGGATTCCGATTAAAATTATTCACTTTCCCTAGATTTCTGTTATATTTTTCTGGAGAAAATAAAATAACTTTTATCAAAATCCATTCCAAATAAGTTCATAATACATGTCCAGAGTAATTAACCAAGAACTTATTTCTGCTTATCGAAAAGCCAGAGGTCTATCTAAAAAACTGGAGATTGACAACTATTGTTTGATTACGATAAAGGAACTTTTAGTATAAGAGTCATCTGAATTATCGACTCTTTCGAGGTAAGAAACTAAATCCGCTCTAAAAAGATTATTATACATACAGTTTTGTATAGTGATAATTCTTTTTACCATTAAGGTAATTCTTTAATAAAATATCGAAAATTTGGGATGCCTCACCAGGGCTTACCCAAAATTATAAATATCTGCGTGGATAAAATATTAATATATAATTTGGATAAAATATTAAAACTACTATGTATATCTTAATGAAATAATATGGAACATACGATAATAAATCAAGAGCTATATTTTCATCGAACGAAGACAAGATGAGATTATGTTTACTTTTCGAAGTTAAATTTATGTGCAAGTTTATACACGTAAATATCTTTCCAGAATAGCCAAGCTAAAGAAAGTAATAGAATGACCTATTACTTTTTTGTGATTAAAATCGTAAATCGTTTTTAAACTATTATATATCGTTTTTTAAACTATTATATATTATATCTCGTTTATATAATGAGAAAATATATATCGTCTATGATCAGATTTGTGTGCAATTAATTTTAAAAAAGCGAGCTTTATCTGTCACTAAGTTATTCACATAAAAAGTTACATTTTTAATATCTTTTTTCTCTCTTATTTCATCATTAATCTATTGTAGAATTTTGTACATGTCAATTTTGATACTTTAATTTCATTATCTGTATAAAAAAATTAGACATTTCTATGGTAACTTGATTTATTAAAAAGTCATCTTAAGCGTTATTATATTGTAGAAGAATAATTAATGTAGAAATTTATCTGCAGTAAATAAAGATTGATAAATCTTTGTTCTCATCATGATATGAAATATATAATGAGAATGATCTTTTCGAGCAGTTTCGCTTCCTACTCTAGAAATAAGTACGTAAAGATATATATGAGTTTTCAAAAAATCGCGATGACACCTACACTAAAAGCTAACTCTCGATAACATAGGAATAAAGAGGATCTTGAGAAAAAGGAATAAAAGGAAAAGAAAAGAAAGATTGCGAAACATCTATTTTATTTCCCATATGACACAGATATATGTCCAAGGGACATTCTGAAGAATGTCTTGAAAACATTCCAACGTCCTGAGAATACTTGCAGAGGAAGATCTCTAGGATAAAATAGGTATGTTGTATGGATTAAACATTGATATAGATATTTCAATGTGTTATATGATAACACTTTTAATACATTCTTTTATACATATTTTTAATATAGATATTAATACATTAATTGCTTTTAATTATTTAATTAAGTTAAATTAATGAACTGAATGGGTAAATTATAAGCATAATCGTAAGACTTGTATTTGTTCTCGTAAAATTTGTAAGAATTTATGACTGATATTGTAATTCTATGCATAAAACATATAATTATTCAAAATTATTATATAAACATATAATTATACAAAAATATTTACAATTTTTCATAAATCTTATGGCTGGTAAGAAGCTGCCTGTATAAATAAGATATATAAAAGTTAAAGGACTTGTAAATTCTTATAAGCCTTATGAAAACATGTTATGAAAAGTCGTACGATTTTGTTTAGAATCGAGACCGATTAATTAATTTAACTTAATTAACTTAATTAAAAAGCAATTAATGTATTATCTATTTTCAAAATATATATTAAAAAAATATATTAAAGATGTTATAATATAAAATCATCTTTTATATCTATAAGAATATCTCTCTATCTTTCTTTCTTATTTCCGATCACTCGCATATATTTCTTTCTCAGGATTTCATTATCTAAAATCTCGTTATGTGAATTCTACTCTGGACATGAGTCGTCGACAGATATTTTCATATATTTCTGTTAGCTAAATTGAGATAATACAATTTTAAAACATTGTAATTGTTGAGTTTAGGAACTCCGCTTTTGATAAAATTAGTTTCATTCGACGCGTTTTTGCATGAAATGAACGAATCTGGCAAAAAAGTATCGCTTCGTTCCGCGAACCGAGATATTAATTATTTAATAATTAAATTTGACAGATATTCATTGCTTAGGAAATCTGTCACATCAATAACATAGAAGGTTACACAAATTCTCTACTTTATAAACACAGATTCTCTGCTTTATAAACACAAATTCTCTGCTTTAAAACACAAATTCTTTGCTTACAAACACAAATTCACTGTTTTCAAAACATTAATTTACTATTTTAAAAACATTAATTCACTGCTGATACAAAGAATTTGTGTGCTTAAAACAATAAATTTTGAAAGTGATGAATTTGTGTTTTTAAAACAGTGAATTTGTATAATTAAAGTAGAACGTATACGTAGAGCTGTATCGAATCGGGATGACAAATATCTTAACCTGTAAAGAACCTGTAAAGAACTCAAACTTTAACACTTAATAATTCGATTCATAAGGCCGATCGTCGTGTTACTTTTTTTTGTCAGATTCTTTCGTTTTGAGTGAAAAATAAATATGTACATTTTTTTTAAAGTTTTATGGGAGAACCATATTCTAAATAATTACCATTTTATTTAAAGGAAAGAATTTTTTTTTAAGTAGAAAATTTGTTTTTGAAATCAAGAATTTGTGTAATAAATGAAGCAAAAAAATCTTCGCTTATGATCTCATGTCCTTTTACCACTAATGCCAGATTTCTTAACCTAAATATTTGTCAACTTTAATATATAATTAATATCTCGGTTCGTGGGATAAAGTGACACTTTTTTTGCCAGATTCGTTGATTTTATGCAAAAACGCATCGAATGAGATTAATTTTATCAAGATCGAAGATGAGGCCCCTAAACTCAACTCAACAATTACCTAAAACATCAATTAAAAGCACGATGTAACCGGTAGATATTCGGGAATCGGGAAATACATCGAGCACATATCGTATGTATTTCTCGGAATTCACTCGACGCTCGGTTCGCGGTGGTTCCTCGCCGCACCTGTGAGCGTGCGCGTAGTGGGGGAGAGCCTGTGGTGGGGATGGGGTAGCGCAGAGGGGATAGAGACGATGGGTGATGCATGTCGTCTCTGTCTCTCGTTGTTCACAGCTCAGTTCGAGTTCGGCGCGCGATAGGTCTGTCGGTTTGTGGCGCCCGTCGACTGTCGCTGTCGCTGTCGCTGTCGTTTCGTGTGCGCGCGCGAGTATCAACTATCAACTTGTTCCTCCAAGTTCGGCCAAGTGCGTTGAGCGTTCTCACGCGCGCCTCCGTACATCCTACTGTGGCTTCCGTGGTATCGTGCGGATCGTACCTCCCGCGATCACGTTTGCCCGTTCATCTCTCCGTCCGTCCGTCCATTCGTTCATACGTCGCGCAGAATCGCGGTCACCGGGTCGAATTTCGAGAAACGGGTCTCGTCGCATACTCCACACGCATGCACGCATACGTACGTTGTTGTTTCCGTAAGCATCGAGATGCGTAGAAAGACGATCGTATCGAGAGCAACAGAATAGTCGATAGCGCCGTGCTTTTTCGTTTCGTGAGGTGGTATTGGAGTCGGAAGCTGCCCTTGGACCCGGAACCGGCGGAAAATGAGGTGAGTAAACCGATCGATATCTCCGCTCCCACTTATACTGATTGCTTGTGGCCCGTATATCATTATGTGATTACCTTGCTTAATGTTTCTTCCTCCTCCTCTTCTCTTCGAAAAAAAGATCTGGTGATTTGCGATGGACTGTTAATCACCCGCGGATCTCTTTGGACGACTTAAGGGAGGTTCCAGGACCGTCTCTCGCGACGCGCGCGATGCTCCAGTTTCGAACTCTCGCGCGCGATTATTGATCGTCCTGCGATCCTGGATGTCTGGAGAGCCGGCTCATTCTTGGAGCCGCGAATTCTTGATCAATTTCTTCTTCTTCTTGAACTTTCTCAATGATGGAAGGGCTGGCTCCAAATCTCAAGTAGTTTTATGATTGAATAAGTGATCATGTGTAACATCGCGCCTCATAACAGCTGAATACAATTTGAGATAAAGTTCCGATTAGTGACAAATTTCTAATAGCAACTTTATATTAAAATTTAAAATGTAAAATTTAAGGCCAATTTCTGATCTACGCATCCTTGAAATTGGTTCATTTGGTTTTCTTGCATCTTGAAATTATCTGTTTTTTTTTTGCGGCTGAACTAGACTTTACTTTTAGAACTTAAAGTGAAGTAGATATATATTTGATATTTGGAAAGCGAGAAAGACGAGAAAAATACATCTATAGTTAAACTACTGCACACACTACTACACTTTTTGTATTCAAAGTAAAATAAAGTTTGTTTTTTGTTATTGCTCTCGACTGCCTATAATGAGCGTTAAACAAACTACTGCCGCCGTATACAGTCAAATGAACGTATACAACCAATACAATACATATTCTATTCATGTTTTTCATAGCAAATTCGATTGGACACATTCAATGCACACTGGTGCATTGTACTTATGATACACAAATTAAAATAAAGATTTATGATTAATATAAACGAGTTAAATTATGAAATCTTCAATATATTTCATTGTATTATATTAAATGATTATATTATATACATTGTATTATATTAAATATGTATTTTATAATTTTAAATACTTGCATTTCACTTTTACATCCAAATTAAGTCAGTACACGGCGTTATAATATGCACCAGCGCGCACTAATGTGTCCAACTAAATTCGTTATTACACTTTTTGCATTCAGTCTTTTCAGCACACGAATATATACTTATCTCGTTTTAAATTTTTTGGGATTTTAAGCACCGCGAACAAACATATTGATATGTATAGTCTACGTCTTTTTTATAATTTCTTATTGGATAAGAGAATTTAAGATGTCTTCAATCTTTTCTTTTGATTTTTTTGTATATGTGTGTGTGTGTGGTGTGTGTGTGTGGTGTGTGTGTGTGGTGTGTGTGGTGTGTGTGTGTGTGTGTGTGTGTGTGTGTGTGTGTGTGTATTATTGTTGTACAACCAATCAAAAATCATTACTTCTTATTGTCTTAATTATATTTTTATTGTATACTCGATCTAGACTACACTAAAACTTCTAGCTTTCATCAAATGTCAAATTTCTATATATATATTTTATTTTAAGTATAATATATTTTATTTTAAGTATACAAAGATACCAGTTCAGTTATAAAAACAGACCTAGATATATTTGATATTTGACAAAGCAAGAAGAAAAGTTCTAATGTGTAGCAATAAAATGCAGAAATAAAAAACAAACTTTTATTCGGAGACTTATACCATTTTTCGTAGATTAACCTTTAATATCGGTTCAACTTATTTTTCTAAGAATTAGAAAAAAAGATAAAGAGTAAATTGAACCGAGATTAAAGTAATCTACAATCTGGTGGATACAAGTATTATTCGATTATCTATAAGTTATAACTTTTGATCGGCGGTTTGACTATTCCGATGCGAACGATCGACGGGGGTTCCCACGTTAAAAAATTTTAATGGTGCCGGTGTTTTTCGCGCTTCTCGCGGCTAACTTCGCACGATGGCTCGATCATTATGGAGCGGAGCGCCGAAAGTTCAATGATAATACGTGACTCTTGGTTAATTGCCGTCTCGTCGATCAGAAACATGGGAAGAAATTAACGTGGATCGAGCGAGATGAGAGCAAACTGTTTGCATCGCGACGTATTCATGCGTCGGAGAATCTTCTGAGATTCTCACTCATTGATTGTCACCCAGGTATTTTTTTATCTTTGTTTAACATTTGGTGAATAATAAGGATAAAATACTTGGATGATAACTTAAATGAAAATCTGAGCCCTGAATATCGTCACGATCATTCGAGTTTTAAGCCTACATAACGTATTGGAGATTGAGGATTGCGAATTGAAGAGAGTTTTTCAACTAATCAGAACAAAATGGATTAAAATTAAAATTATCTGACTGATTAAATTTTAATTTTTAATTTAAACTGCACTTTAGTTTGGGTGCTTACACACTGTAAACGTCATTCTATCTTTCTTCTGTATATGTGATAAAAAAAGCGAATGAAGTTTACAGCGCGTGAGTGTCTAAACTGAACGCAACCTTAATACATGCATAACGGGATTAATATGCACGTATCGTGACAAGTAGATATTATATTTTGCGCGAAATTGGAGTATTTGAATGATGACTCATTCTTGTTCTTGAGTAGCGATGTGATAAAGTAAGTAAAGCTTTTTAATTACAATGATCGTTTTTTTACTTACAGTATAATTATATAGAATGTTGCAATGGCATAATCGATGAATATTCGATCGGTTAATTCGGTTCGATGTATTTTCAAAGCCCAATACAATAATTACTGTATTGGTTTTTGTCTTCATTTATGTCTATTTTTCCAACGTAGATTAATTTACATTGAGAAAAAAATCTTTATGATTATAATGCAAGTAATCATGATTAGGAGCTTTATTTTCATAATTATTATTGCTATAATGTTATATAGTGATAATAACCTTATAATTTTATAAAAAGATATGTATATAATTTTAATTTATATATAATTGACAAAAATAACTGAAATGATAAATTATACTAATAACTCTAAATCATTTTTTCTTTCAATGTAGTCTTGTTTAATTTTATTTTTTATCTTTTTCCAGTTTTAAGAATTAGAAAGACATCAGGGAATAAATAAGGCAAAATCAAAGTTTACTTATATTAGTAAAAATAAAGATCAATGATGGATATACATGGCATTTAATAAGATAGATTATGGAACGTTTAACGTATTACGAGCTATGCTTAGAATATAGTTAATACCTTTTTAGTAATTAATAAATTATGTAATATTAATTAGCAGAGTGATTTTCCGTTTAAGAATTTATGTTTAATGATATTACTTCGATAGCATTTTCCACTTACTTAGAATTTTTTCTAAAAATTATCTTCAAGTGTGTGTGTGTGTGTGTGTGTACGTGCGTGCGTGCGTGCGTATGTGTGTCATGATCAACGTCATTAAACGGAAATCCGCTCTGACTGTTAATTAGAATGCAATAACTGATGACAAGTCAATTCGCTAAATTAGAAAGTCAATATATCAATAATAGAACATGGCCCATTTTGTTTTTGCTTTAGAATTTGCACAAGATGTTTTTTATTACCCAGGAGAATGTCTATCTTTTTCTCACAAAAAGATATATCGATATTAATTTTTAAATAATTTGAAATGCAATTTGTTTTCCGATAAAATATAAATATTTATGATGTATTATTCGCGTTTGCATTTTCCCAAATATGATTTGAATTATATAATGATTTTCCGAGATATCCATTAATATTCCACATGATATCCTTTCAGTATCTATTAGCAGAATTATTATTTGCAATCGTATTATTTGCACATTCACGTATCCCGGCTCGTACTCTTATGCTTATTGTCAACGTGATTTAAATGCACAGCAAATAAAACATCGATTGATCGCTTCTACTTTGCTCTCCTCGCGCACGATTGCGGTTAAGCCCGAAATAGCCTTTGAACACTGGTTATGCAATTTCGCGGCAATTGGATGCTCAGCCGCATTGATCGTGATTGCTCGCAAACCAATAATCTCAGAAAGCAAATCAAGGTCACTCTAATATCGGCCTAAACATCATTTCCTAGAAGGATCGGAAATCAACGTTTTTATTGCTCTCATACACGCAGATTGCACAATTATTCTTATTAACTTTCCTTTATTAGGTATGTAAAATAACATTTTAATGTATACTTATTTGTTGAAATTTATACTTATTTGTTGAATATTATGAATTCTCAAATCTGGTACTGTAAGAATTTAACATTTGAGCAAGTGTCTATTTTTCAAAGCGAAAAATTACGAAAGCAAGTCAATAAGTTTTTAGAAAAATACATAGTAAAACACATTTTTTTTTTGATCGATTCATTTTTATTTCTCAATATAGTCTCCTTTGATCCAATGATTCTCCAACTTTTTCAAACTTCCGAATAATATGATTTATCCAACCCTTCAAAATAAGCCTCTGTTTCGGCGATGAGCTGCTCTCTGGTGGTGAATCTCTTTCCTCCGAATTTCTTCAGTTTGGAAACAGGAAATAGTCGCAGGGGGGCTAAATCTGGCGAATATGCTGGCTAGGAAAGCAATTCGTAGCGGAATTCGTTGAATTTGGCATCGGTGCTGGGCACGTGCATGAATTCGTATAGTGTCTTGATGGAAGAGAGACTTTCTTCTTCACCAAATGGGGACGTTTTTTCTTTAAAAGATTGTTGAAACGGAACTGTATAGTAATCGCCATTGATCGTTTGCTTTGACAGAAGGTAATCGATATGAATTATACCGCGTCCCAAAAAACTGTTACCATCGCCTTTTCGGCCGGTCTTCGCCTTCTTCGGAGCTGGTTCACCCGGTGAAGTCCATTGTTTTGACTTCCTTCGTCTTGGGTGTGAAGTAATGGATCCATATTTCGTCCACAGTAATGAATCGACGCAGAAATTCATCTGGATTACGTTAAAACATCTCCAAACATTGTTTTGAAATCGTCACACGGTCACGCTTATGACCGCAGTGAGCAAACGCAGCACCCATCTTGCTTATAGCTTTATCATACCCAATTGTTCGTGCAAATCACTGTGCCATATGATATGCCTATGACCTCAACAAGTTCGCGCACTCGTCGATCAGTCAAAACAATATACATCGTGGACTATGATGATTTCTGGCATAGCAGTCTCAATTGGACGTTCCGAACGAGGTGCATCACATGTAAATGTACGACCACGTTTAAATTCATTCACCCAATTGTATACAGTCGCAAACGCTGGTGCAGATGTGCTATGAACATTATCCAATTCATCTTTGATTTTTTTAAACTTTATCATTATATGTAGATGTTTGATCTCTGCACGAAACTCGTTTTTTTCCATTTTGCAAAAAATACAAAGGTTGTTTGCTTCAATACAGATTTTTTAAGAACTTATTGACTTGTCCTCGTACTTTGAAAGAATTATTCGAAAAGATTCAACAATCTGAATTTTCCAAGTTTCTAAGTAATTAAGAATTTAAATTAAATTCTTTTGAGCGTCTATTTTTCAAAGCGAAAAATGATTGTGATAAATATTCGAAGATCCAATTTTGTTTCATCTAAATTTTTAAAATTTTCAGATAATTAAGATCGCTTAAACAGATTAAAATTCAAATTAAATTCTTTCAAGCAATCATCTATTTTTCAAAGCGAAAAATTATTGCGAAAAATATTCGAAAATCCAATTTTGTTTAATCTAAATTTTTTCAAATTCCCTAGAGTATATATTTTAATTAAGAAACTGCTTAAATATACATAGAATTAAATTCGAATTAAATTTTTTTGGAAATTCATTTATTTTTCAAAGCGAAAAATTGATAAATATTCGAAGATCCAATGATCTAAAATATCTAAAGTTTTCCAAATTTTTACGTAACTAAGAAACTCCTTATAAAGATCGGATTTAAAATTCGAATTAAATTCTTTCGAGCAATATAGCACGCTATTAAGACAGTTAATTACGATTTCTTTTACTAATAGCATCTGTTTCTCGTGCACGCAGTAAAGTAACAGCAATTTTTACGATTCGTAAGGTAAATAAATTAATGAAGCTAATAACCAGTTTGAAAAAACGAATGCCGTTACTTTTCGTTCAGAGAAAAAGGCGGTGGTTTTGTGAGGGAGATCAATTTTTTTTCGCTAGCCGACAAAAGAGGCGCGCGTCTCCTTGGAACGCTGTCGATTAATTATCTTCTTAATTAGAGGGTCGTGATTTATTATGCGATCTTTAATCATTGGTCTCCGCGCGATGCGGCAGCTTAATTTTCAGCGATCAATTAAACTACGATGTAAAAGCCGATTCTCCATATTCAAAGTTAAAAGCACATATCGGTGTTTAAATTTAAAGTATAGTAGTTAAACCTAAAATTTCGAGCGCTTGAATTACCAATGAAATTTTCCTTCGCGACAGCGTGGCGACGTCACTAGGGCTCTCTCGAAGGGTGATAAATTATTCTACGAGTCCGGAAGCGAGATAAATATTTGTTGAGCGACGTGCTTTATTATTTATGAGATCCTCTGTGAATGGCAAATAGAATCTTTGCGACCGTATTGCGCAACATACTATACATATATGTATAGTACATATGTGAGTTTGTACTTGCGTCGTAAAATCACACATTTTAATTCGGAAAAAGTGAATCGTCGTTCTCACGTAACAAATTTGATGTAAACCGTACTATATATTTAACGATTGCACATAGAATAATTGTTATTGAACTTTCATCAACGGAACAATACGCCGTAAAGCATCGGGTAAAATTTATCTTTTGCTAGAAACAATATTATTCTTGCAGACACTGCTAATATCAAGCTGCAGTTATATCTGCAATTTACTTACATTTCACGATCGGCAATCGTGTGTGATAAATTCTTATTTATAGTGTGATATTTATTATAAATTTAATTAATGGATTAAGTATATATTTTATATTTTTATATTTTTATCTTTTAACAAAGAAATATTAATAAGAATATAAAATGTATTTACATTATATTCATGTTATTATATTATGTTAAGTGTTTGAATACACGATATATAAAATATTTTAAATAATTCAAAAATTTATGGCAGTTAGGATTAATTATTACTTTGTCTTTTTTTCATGTAAACAGCTTTGTTATCGATATATATCAAACATTTAGTATGAAAACATCAATATCTGTACATTTTATGTATAATAAAAAAATATAAATAAGAACATAAAATTCCATTAGGTTTATATTAAATACTAATTGTAAGATGTTTAAAATATCTTAAATAATGAAAAAATTTATTGAAAATTATAGTTAATCACTTTGTGTTTTTTCATTCACACAATTTTTGTTATCAATATGTTTCAAATATTCTGCACATGCATTAATGTTCACATTTCCGCAATTTCAAGAGTTGTTGTTTTTCTGATTGAAGATGTCCGGCAAATAAGGGCATGCAGTAATGAGGATGACAAGAAGTTGCTTGAAAACCGCAGAACGTAATCCACCGTGCCGTGACTGAAAGTGATTCCGTGAAGAGTAAACGACGACAATTCATCTAATCGGCAAGCGTCGATCATCGGAAAATTGATCGATTATCGTGACGTAAAAGACTGAAGACCGCGCGCGAGAAAAGGAACTTTCATTCGATGGAGATCATGGTGTGACTCGTGTGCGGCCGATAGAAGGAATCCCTTGGGGAAGATTGACGAGGTTGTCGGGTGGTTGTGTGATTCCGGTGGTGGTCGGTTGTAGTGCTGGTATAGTGGTGCTTGATACGTAGCTACGAATCAGAGGCCCGTTGGCGCTTAGGCGTCGTCTTCATCGGTTTACTCATGCTGGGAGTGCTGAAGCGGCGCTGGAAGCCATCGAAAAGGTAAGTGAACATAATCTCGGCTTATTGCCAAGAATACATTATTTATTATATCATGCTACATTGAACAGACCCGTGGGCAAACACCTCATTAAATATGACTATAATCTAAGCATTTATATAGGGAATTCAATCTTACTACATTCAATATAAAAGTGCAGTATTTGTGTATATTGGTTTATTTGAATTGTTTCAAAGTTACGTAACGTTATCTTATATTAATATAAACAATTGTTTATATTACTAGGTTATTAATTATATAATTTTAGCATGCAAAAAATAGAAAGAAAATAGACTTAAAGAAGAAATAAATAATCTTACAGAAATTCTTCTCTTACAGAAATTTTCTGATTTTAATTTCTTTCCAACAAAGAATCACGGATAATCCGAATCTTGAATCTCTTTAACCCTAATATTATTATTTTTGGTTACTTTCCCGCTAAGGATTTGAAACTCTGCAATTTTGTTACGCTATATTTCTCTAGACTGAATACGTATTTTTTAGCTCAAAACGTGTGAAATTTATACCTCGAAGTCAGACAAAGACAGATAAATATAAATCAAATAAATAATATTTTATTTTCAATTAATTACAATGCTTCGAAGAAATGTTATTGGAAAAATTCACAAAAAATGACTACTTTGGGAAAAAATTCTAAAATATTTAATTCGGATCTTCAAATTATATTATAAAAAAGTTAAAGCAATGCAAAAAATCGCACAGGGTACGTTGAATCATGAATAATAGGGCTAAATTTTGTTTTAATTATTAATTATTAACGAGCGGAAAATCTGAAAATTAACAATATTTTTTTAGAAAGGCATTTTTAGCAAGTTTTTTTTCATCAATGTTATTCGTTCGAAAAACTTTTGGAATGAAAATTCTACTTGATTTTTTCGTCATAAGCTTCTTAAATTATTATGCCCATCTTGTTCATTTCTGGCAAAAGTTAATCTGCATTAAAAGATAATAGTTAGAAAATTGCATTGGCTTAGTTACGCGCGGACTTGATTCTACTTACAATGATTTATTTATTTCCCGGAGACAAGGGTTAACTCTGGACCAATTTTGAAATTGCCCTCGGTTAACTTTGAGTTAACTCTCTGGGTCATCGCACGATGAATCCCGCACGTACGTTAATCCTTTGTGTGACGCGATATAACGAGTGATACTCAACCACGGTCATATTTCAACGTTGACTCTTCACTCGCTTTTTAAAGGACAGTGGGCTTGAAATTATTTTTAACAGTCCATGGCTTTAATACTTCATTCCTTTTGCGACGAGTCGAAACGCATATTCGCTATTCTTTTCTGATTTTATTTTAATGAAAAACATCTTTACGCATACATTAAAAAATATTTAATATTTGTGTTAAAACCAGCTTTTGTTACAATTTTTGTGTTGAATATTTATAAATATATCCGAGTATTAATTTAACATTTAATTGTATTATCTGAATTTTATGTCAAACTAATATTCAACATTTTTTAGTGCTAAAATATTACACTTTATGAATATGTCAACAAATAACGCAAAAATAATGTATTTTAAAATGTAAATTCCAAGATAAATGAAAATTTTAATTAATTTAATATTATAATTGTTAATTTTATTGAAGAAATTTGCTTACAAATTGTACCAATGTTACATTTTTAGTATTAATTTTTTACACAATATTTACGTTACTTTGTAACATATTAATTCATCTTATGTTAAATTAATACATAATATCTTATGTTAAATTTGGGTGAACCCCAAATTTTTGTGTTAATTTAACATAAAATGAATTAATTTTGGATTTGAGATCTGTGAAATGCGTTAAAAATACAAATTTTCCAATTGTTTATATAAATTTTTTTTTCGTTTCATATAATTTTTTTTCAGATGTAATGTGATACTTTAGTTTATATTATATTATAGCTTATATATCTTCAAGCAAAGGCAGTATCAATTTTTTTACGTAATCGTATGACGTTATCTTTTTTGCGATATCATGTGTGATTGAAGTATATATCTCGCAGATACTATGTACTACTTGTTGATATTTAAACGTTGAGATAATTTATTATCATTATCAGTGTGATATACTTGTATTGAAACAATTCGAGATACGTAACTATGACGCGGGAATAATTGGCCATCAACATTGGCATAATAGACAAATCAAACGACTGTCACATGCCATATCGACAACGTGTCAACTTGTAATTGACGTTACGTTTCCGCGACTGCATGGAGGGGAGTTAAATCTCCCCTCGAGAGAGGGGATTAATGCATCAATAGCATCTTAAAAAAGGAAAGCAGCAAACTGCTTCGTGCAATCACCGCGCATCCTTAATACACCTAATCCACGTGTGATAAATTATGCTAACGGTTTGTGTCACGTGTATGTACGAGGACAACGCTATTGACAGTTGGATAAATAATTCTATGCGACGCGTGTGATTACGATCGAACGTTGCATAGCTTTACATAATGAGTCCCGTCGCGACCAATTCGAAGGAATTATCACCTGCATGCCAGGCCTTTAATTAATGCCCACTTTCAGACCCCTGCATCACCAATGAAATGTTAACGGAGGAGAAAAAAAAAAGATAATACCGAAATGTGTGGCGTGATAATGTAGCATCGAAAATTGTGACATTGAATGTAAATTTTCTCATGTATGGCCGACGCACGATTATAATATCACGATTATAATAAGATTTCTATCTCTCCCTTTTTCTTCGCATGTTATCAATATTTCCGTAGTCTGAGCGCAATTACTGCTGATAGATAACCCGAAGCAGATACATCGCGACTCTTTATTAAATGTTACTGCAATCCCTGTGGGAGTTGTTTACATGGAGTATATGCTTCCAAGTTTCCTGAAGTCAATGCACTTTCGATGCTTTTTCTTCTTCGAAATGTTAAATAATTATTATTCAAATAATATTCCAATAATCCACTTTTATGAGAAATCTATTCTTAGTAGAATACAGGAATATAGAAATATTTTCGCGTTAAAATTGAGAATGCGATTTAGAGTATTTTTGAGTATATTAGAGAACAAAAAAAAAATAGAATTAATACCTTATTTTTCGAAATGTAGCTTATCTTAGATTTACAATGTGATTACAAAACTGCGTTATTAAATAATATTCAGATGAAAAATTGATATTATACAATTTGCATGTTTTAAACGGTCTACCTAAATATACTTTTGTATTAATTTATTTTAAATGAATATATTAGGAAATAATTAACTGGGAAACAAATATTATGTATCGCGTATCAACATATTGTCAGTATGTTAGCTATTTTATAAATGTAATGTATAATGCCTACTAGAGACATTATATTTATAAAGTGTAATCAATTGATCAATTTTACAAGTATAATCAATCGATTAATTTTATAAATGAAATACCTGCTAGAAAAGATATTATATTTATAAAATAATCTGATGTATATACTGACCAATATATGTTGATGTAACACGTGGTACAAAATTAATTTAAAAAAACTTTGATACAATTTTTATAAGAAGTGTGAAATCATATTTTTTCAATAAAATTAACATTTATAATATGTTGAATATATATGTATGTATATTTTATTCATTTATCTTACAATTTGTTGTTTTTAAAATTATTTATTATTTTGGCGTTATTTGTTTACTTATCCATAAATTGTGTTATTTTAACATTAAGAAATATTGAATGTCAATTTAACACAAAGTATTCAAATAACATAATTACATTATATTAAATCAATACTCATATATGCTAAAAATTTAATACAAAAATGTGAACAAGGACTGGTTTAACATACATAGAAAATATTTTTTATCTGTTAAACAAATATTTTAAGGAAGATATTTTTGAAAAAAATAACGATTTTATTATACTTTTGTTGCAATATCAATGATATTAAAAGCGATATTGATATTTCCATTTTTAATTCTTCACGATCTTACTTTTTACGTAAATACTACGAACACACACACACACACACACACACACAC